CCAAATGGACCATGCCGGTCGGGTCAAGTATATACCAAATAAGTTATGGACTTAGACACCTTATCCAACATTTGTAACACCCATAAAATTCAAGACAATTAAAACTTTTTAAATCGTTTAAATCCATTAAGTCATTATAATTTGTTTCAAATAGTTTAAACATCAGAGTATCCCCATAATCAAATCATGAGAATATGAGGAAGTGCACGATTACGCCTTCGTCTTCTCGCGATCATCATAAGTACCTGAAACAAAATCAACAACTGTAACCTCGAAGCTTATTGAGTTTCCCCAAAATACCAACGCCATACAAATATAACCACATCATATAACAAATACAGAACAAACAGTATGCATAATGAGCATTCAACCCAACTGGACCGCCTCGCAGGGCCTACAGCCTATCTGAACTGCTCTCGAGCCTTCGAGATGACTGGTCTGCCTCGCAAGGCCTACAACCTATCTTGACCGCTCGTTAGGCCTTCGGCCTTAATGAATCCCTTTGCAGGTCTTTCAAGTTACCCGAACCACCCTGGGTATGTTGGCCTTCAACACAAAGTAGGACCACCTCAACCCAACCCTAAATCAAACAAACATGTGCACATAATTATCATACACTAGCATATATAACAGTCGAGAGTTCGATTCTTCCCAACTTCTTTTAACTACTTGGGTTGTGGTGACTTGGTAAGGCATGTGGAAGATATGGTGGATAACCTATTGACCCATGTTCAAATCCTAGCACCACTCAGCCCTTGTGGCCATGGAGGTTCGCCTGCAGTGACTCCAGGGCATGAAGCAAAGCTTTATGTTTGCAGCGGGGGATTAGTCGGTGCGCGAAAGCTGGCCCGGAAACCCTCGTTAGGGAAGTTCCCTTTCCAAAAAAAAAAAACAGTCAACCAATCTAACAGATCAATAACCATAGAATCCTATTACCAGGATACATGTCTAACCGATCAATAACATAGCAACCATCCTATAAGAAGGATATCGATCTAACATATCAATAATCATAACAACATCCTCTAACTAGGATACAGATCTATCCGATCAATAACATATCAACCATCCTGTAATCATAATACCGATCTAACAGATCACTAACATAGCATAATCCTATAAACCAAGATACATACCTATCAGGTCACTAAGCATATCACCATCCCAATTACCAGGATGCAAATCAATAAGCATATAATGCAATAAACCCAGATACGAATTCGATAAGAGCCGACATTGGTGCCTTTGACCCTGTTGATATAGTGAGGAGAACTCACCTGACACTGCAAAAGTCCCGCAGATGAAACTCCAGCTATTGGTTGATAGATTCCCGAACTACCAACATCAAACAATATTCAATTAAAAATTAGGTTCCAAGCATAAGGTCCAACTCACACTCCAAAGGCCCAAAAATCAAGTAATGGGCCAAAGGCCAACATATGGCCCAATTTTCCAAATTGGGCCCAAACATTTAGAAGGTCTTACCATAAGGCCCAACCACTTAGTCCAGTCCAACAGTCGACATTCTAATGGCCCAATATCACATAATCATAAAGGCCCAAACTATGACCTATCTAAAATTGGGCCCAAATCCTCATATGGGCCTTACCTCAAAGTCCATTAATTATTCTAGTCCATTTGCTTGATCATGGATGATGCATTAATAACCAAATCATCAAGGCCCAATAGGAAGACACAACTCAAGGCCCAAGTGAAATTAGGGTTCCCATATGAAATGACGATTAGGGTTAAGTATTTCTCACTTAACCCATTAAGGACTTAATCCATTAAGTCCATCACTCTTCTAAATAAATCATATGGTGTGATTAGCTTAATATATAATTACATTCCAATGGCCCAGATGTAGGTCCCAATAAGTCTAAGCCCATAGATCCAATTAGGGTTTTCTAAACCCTAGTTAAGGTTTCCAACCCCATCTTAGCCCAATAGGCCCAATAACTAGGTCTTTTGATCAATTAGGGTTCACTAGGCCTATTTGTCACATGTTTGGGCTTTTAGGTTAATTAGGGCTTCATTGGGACCATTAGAGTTTATTAGGCCATTAGGGTTTTAGTCCCTTTGTCCAAACATCCGAACGAGTCACAATACAAACAAGGCACACCGGTACCCGACACAGCGGCTGGTGGTGGCAGCCACCACCTTACGGTGGTGGTTTCAGTTTTCTTTTCATTATTCCAACTCCAGTTACAATATTACAATAAAAATACCAAATGTACACGCACACACACACACACACACTAAAATACAATCACACATGGTGGTAGCCACTACCTCACGGTGGTGGTGGTGGTTGTTCTCGATTTCCGACCAAGCTACACGCACACCACTTATACCCAACAAAATTACACATACTCATGATACTTTATTGAAACCGGATCCAAACATCGATCTAGCAACGTACAACGATGGTTGACGACAGTTTGTAATGTAATAGCGGAAGAGAATGGAGGAGAAGGAGACACTCGATCCTCGTATGTCTTCGTCAAAGGGGCAACAACAACATCGCTCAACATGGTCGTGGTCACAGTGGTCAGATGGCAATGAAACAATTCCCTGGATGGTGGCACATCTCAGATTCCCAGCCGGTACTGCCTTAGTCGACCCCTTGCGGCGGCTTTCCCTCAGTTATGCACGTCATTTGGCAGTGGCGGTGGAATTCCGATGGAGAAGAGGCAAATGATGTGATGACGGCGGCTAGAGGGGTCACGAACGGTGGCCACCACGACACCATGCCTTCGATTTTCACTGATGCAGCTGCGTTCCCATCTTAGACGGTTATCAACATCATTCTACGGTGTTCGTTGGTTGGAGAACGACTAGGCTGACGTGGTGGCGGCCAGAGAGAGTGAGGGTTATAAGGTCTGCAGCTGCACCATTTAGGGTTAGGTTTTGGGACTGGGGGTGACGGGTTTACATACCCCGATTCCCCAAACTTGTTTCCATAATGACGTCTTCAACCCCTCCCTTCCCATTTTCTTTCAAAGTGAACCCATAAAATACCACTTAACCCTGCCTTTTAAAAACCTTTACAAATTAAGTCCAACTTTTACCAAGTAGCCCCTCTCTCTACATTTATTTTCGAATGAAGTCCATAATTTACTATTTAGCTCCACTCTTCCATAATTCCTTTCATATTAGGTCCAAATTATACCAAACACCCATTGATATATGAAAATCTTTACAAATTAAATCCTAAAGTTACACTTTAACCCCTGGAGATTCAAATCTTGTCATTTGGCTTCGTGAAACCAATTCCCACCTAATTATTATTTGATTTTGGCTATTATAATATAAAATAATTATTATTATTATTTTTCGAGGTTTCTGGATTTATTATTTAATCATTCTATTTTAAACGTGATGTTACAAACCAACAATGAATACTATAGTAACCCTAGATGACTGCTAGAAAGGCTTCTAACAACATATCAAACCTCCGTTCTGATATCATGATAACATTATCATATGATATAATAAAAAGAAAGTAAAAGGGTTCTCAATAAAATGCACAAAAAACTACAAAAAATAAAACGAAGATAAATATTAGTTAGACAAAATACTAATGGGTTAAAGACTAAAAAGCCGATAAACAAGTGGACTAATAATTTAGAGGCTAACAATCATTATTTGCAATATTTAGGAATGATTGAATATTTCAAGCCATAATCTACTTAATAATGATATGTTCGGAGTTTTTTCAACCACACTTATACTCCACACAAGTGACATTGCCATATAAATTTAAATCTTTTAATTTCAGATCTTTCGTTATCAAATAATGTTACTAAGCTTGGCATAACCCTTAAGCCAACTTGGGTTTGAGTATGAAGTTCTTGCGGTAGAGATCACTTACACCGAATATAAAAAAAAAAATACAGTGAAATTAAACTACATGTGCATATTTGATATTTTCTATTACACCGGTAGTGGCAACATTTGTTTGTGTGGGACCTCAAAGAAAAACAACTGAAGCCTTAAATGATGAATCCACTAGGGTCTCTCTATAAATTTTCTTTGCACTGTCATTTTCGGATTTTGGCCTCTATATTGAAGTTGACCTTTTATGACAACTAGTATGTTCTCTTAGGTGTGTTAATTTTGACTAATCTTGGTATGGGATTATTGGTGTTTATAAGCCTGACTCATGGGAAGCATGAGCCACATCCCGAGTTTACCATTATACATATCATTTTACCAAATGATCGACATGTCATCCGACGTCAACAATATAGAAGATTTGATGAATTATGTATATCCCTCGTGAAGAAGAAGTTGGACTCTCCTTTAAAAATATAGGCTCTGACTGTGATTTCTAATTATATATACTAGAAGATTTGTGTTTTTATGATTTTATTCTCTGATAAGGGATGTTGCTTTCTTGTCGTCTCTCTGGAATGTTCAAGAAGTCGGATCCTCCTTTAAAAAATTAGGTGTATGAGCTAGTAAACATGGTACAAATACCGAATGCTTACATGTTGTTGGTATATTCAAAATGAATCGATACATCAGATATGTGGATCATGGACCTTTGCAGCTGGAATAGCAAGTCTTCGATTTTAGATACATATTTTTAAGTGTTAGATATGTTTAAAATTTTATTATGGAGTCACGAATAGCGATTCTTGATTCAGAAGAATTACTATTCTAATGTTCAAAATCACAATTATTAATATTAATGGAAGAAAAGAAGTACTATTTTCTATAGAAGTTATTCATCCTTTCCACCAAAGTATCCTGAAAATAGTTATGATCCTTTTGAAGAAACTTGCATACACAAAAACTGTAAAAGCTATTCTCGTTTTATGTCTTTGTTTCCCACGGAATAAATATGAAGATTGGCGCTTAATAAAATTTCTATTACATTGTGTTACTAAAATATAATATTCCGTGTTTTTTCTTGATGTGTTGTGTAAATTACTGTTTTCTGTATGCATGAAATTAATCTCTTCTGAACTTATAAACAACTTTTATTCATTAATGCACGGTATTTATGCAAATACAATCTAAAATACGTATCTTACGTATACGTACAAAATCTCTTAATTTACAACCTTGTAGTTTTCCACTTTGATGCGTATATTTTAATCATCCTCCAATCTTACTATAACATTCTAGTGTGAGATCCAATAACTCAGCAGACAATCGTATTAATTCCAATTACTTATGATAAGTAAACCAGTTCCAACAACCGGGACTCTATCAACGCAACATCAAACCCTACCCGAGCTTGAAAAGCCTGCATACATTATACAAAATGAAGTTATTAGTTATGAAGCTGGACACAAGTTATTAATTGCTTATGTTAATTAAATACGCATTTTATACACGGGCTTTGTTTTAGTGCTAAAGTGGTGATAAATTCACATATATGCATACAGTTTTTATTATTTTTATTCTTATTTTTGAACACAACCATGAAATGGTTGAGATACGACTTTCCATCCCTTTGAATACCATTGCTAAAAGGAACACATGAAGCGTTGGAATTGAAGATTATTAACAATGAATTAATTCATGTTCCAATTCCAATAGATTTTGTTTATGCAATAACAGTTGTCGCTTATTTTCATAAAAGTAGTGCGGTTTTGTTTTGTTTTTTTATAAAAAGAAAAAACTATTAATATTTATTTGTGTGTGTAAACAATCATTCATGATTCATTTAACTGGAAGCTGTTTTTGTACTATAATAAACTTAAAGGGTTTTCGAAATTGATACACCCACTGTTACCTGAGCATGGATGGTGCAATAGATGAGTTGACCAACAGTGCAGAAACTAGAGTTCGTAATTTCAGCACCACCTTGCTCTATAACACTCAATACGTGAAAAGCCTCCGCTTTCTTGTTATTCGCCGAGATGATCAAGTTAACCTCAAGTTTCGAATCAATTTCAGTCACTCGAACAAGCTGCAAACTCTGTCCGTTATTCGAAGCATATCTAAGTTCGCTTTCAAGCTCTTCTTTCCTAGCCTTCAATCTTTCCACTCTTTCTTTCCAATGCATCAGTGCATTTGCTGCACGATCCAAGAACTCTGGCAAAGGCATCCTCTCCTGTAGTATTTATGATGTTAGAAAAAGAAAGAAACATAGAGAGAGAGAGAGAGAGAGAGAGAGAGAGAGATGTACGTAAGGTTGAAGATGAAGGAAAGAGGCAAGAGTAGAGTAGAGGTGTTTCATCCGATCACGACGTTGTCTTTCAGAAGCGGCCGGTTTCCGGGGAAGAGATGAACTCCTGCCGGTCATCTGGATCTGTGTTTATTGCGGTTGCGCAGTACTAGTGGAGTTCTGTGATGATTGTGGTTGTGCAGCGCTAGTGGAGTTTAGGGTTGGATTTTATAGATCGGATTTGGGTCGATCAGACCAGGTCTAGTCATGTACAGCAATCGCTACGAAATTTGACGACTCAAAGAATTCGAAGTCGTTATCACTTTCCACCGTATTTTGTAACATTTCAAAGAACTCGTTTCTTGTTGAAAATACTAATGTTCTGGTAGTTTACTATTTCCTCATACGCTCAAGGGACATAAGTGAGTAGATGATTTTTATTTAATAATAAAATAAAAGACGTTTCATATGTTTTATTAAATTATTTTTATAAATTTATAGAAATTTTACATTTTATATGTTAATTTTGAAATACTCATATGTTTTAAGAGTTGAAAAAAACAACTTTTTAGTACTTATAAAGTTATATTTCTATTTTTGGATTTTTGACGAGTTAACAGTTCTTTGTGGAGACACAAGCAATGGAAGATTGGATTTTTGATGCTTTCACAAATTTTTTATTTTATTTTAGGTAAAGCTGTAATAAAGTCTCTATATTATATGTATAATCGATTTAGTACCTATAATTTTTTTTTCTTTTTGCAATTTAATCCTAAATACCGGTAAACGTAATCAAAACGGAATATTTAATGGGTTAACAGGTATCTAACTAATGTGGCAGCTAACGTGGAAGTCATCATGTTAAATAACATCCTACGTGCCATTTACGATGGCTAAATCAATGAATCGAGCTCTTCTTCTTCATTCGACTGTCAAAGTAGCGAAGGATTAGGGCAAATTGAAAATAGGAAATTGATGTCGAGTTCGTCAAGCACGAACATTAGAATGTGCTATTGTGGAGATAGGGCTGGAATGTGGACATCATGGACTCGAAAGAATCCAGGTCGGAGGTTTTTTGGTTGCCGAAATTACATGGTATAGAATCCTCAAATCTCACTCAGATTCTTCTATTTCACTAAATTACCATTCTTCTATGTTAAAACATGCATCTTTCTATGTTATGTAGGATGAAGAGAAGAACTATGGGTATTTTCATTGCATTGACCCACCACTATTGAATAAGTGGTATAAAGAAAGAATGTATGAATTAGGAGCTGTTGCTAATGAGGGTGTAGCTATTCGTTTCAATAACCCTGTTAACGAAGGTGAAATACCTGTTGATGGCCATATTGCCTCTGTGAATGTTGATGTCCCTATTGCCCCTGTGAATGCTCTTGAACCTGATAATCAAATTGCAATGTGTGAGAATATACATGTGCTTGGTAATGAATTTGGATTCTGCAAGTGGGTGATGGTTTGTTTCATTTTTTCATTGTAGGGATGATGTATGGTTAGTTTAGTGTAAGTTGTAGGGTATTATAGTGTGGTAGGGATGATGTAATCTTTTGGTTTGTTATCATGATGTAATGGATACATGTTCTTGTGGATCATGTAATGTTTTGGTGAATGAAATGGCAATATGTTATTATGGTTTGCATAAATGGTGTACACTTGACAAATATAACCATGAAGTATGCACACTTGTGGCTAAAATAATTAAACAAACTCCAATATGTCATTACCAACCATGTTAAGGGCATTCACAATGTTTCAGTGTGTTTACAAAAGATGTACAAAATATGGCTATCAGTAATTTAAGGGCATTCACAAAAGATGTACAAAAGTAGCATTCACAAAAGATGCACAAAAGTAGCATTCACAAAAGATTTACCAAAATACCCTTAATACCCTTAACACCTTAACACCCTAATTCAACTCCAATGCTGAATTTACAGAAGTCCCAACACGTCCCATCTTCTTCAGCTTGATTTTAACAATCCTCTCAGAGGGCCTTCTTCTTTTGACAATCCTAAGGTGTACTGGTAATTCCTAGGTGTCATTAATGTCTTCTTCTTCTTCACTTTCTGGTTATGTCTCAGGGATAATTTCTTTAGCCCCATCTTGTGTCTCAGTCGGAGGTGCATACTCCTCTTCCTGTAAAACATCAAGCAATTAATAACATAAATGAATGTTAACATTAAGGTAATATAGAGGGTTTACCATAGACATAGGAAGAACATGATAAATAGTGTCATTGTAATTAATGAGCTGTTTCATATGTGAATCTGTCAGATTAAGTGAATTTTTAATTTCTTCAATTGAATACCCTGATAGTTTCAAATCTTGCATTGCCTTTCATAAATGGACTAAATATTTTTCAGGAATAGTGTCATCCTCATTTTCAACTCCACCACCTTCAACTTCAGCCACTCCACCACCTCCAATTCCAATAGATGTCTTACTACCCCTACAACCTCTTTTACTAGTTGTACCACCTCTGTTACCCTTTGCACCACTTGTGTTACCCACTGCACCACCTGTGTTACCCACTACACCACTTCACTTACCCCCTATACCACCTCTACTACCCCTTGCACCACCTCTACTACCTCTGACACCACCTCTAGTCTAATTACTGATATCGGGATCCAATCTTGGTCTACACATTTTTTTTTCTTGGGTTTGGGTTCTAGTGTGACCTTGGGATTCTTACAAGATGCCTTGTTATGACCCCTTTGAAGATAATTTTGCATTGGACTGTCCTTATTCCAGTAACCTTCATCTTATTTTGGGAGTATTTGTTTTGAGATTAAGTGACATGCCTCTTTCTTTTTAGAGTTGGTCTCCCTGGCATTCTTCTAGCTAAAGGGGGTAGAGGCTTTATGTATGATGTTCTAGGCCATAAATTTCTACCATTCACAGCTAGTATATTGTTTGCATATATGGCCTTGAACCTATCCACATTAAACCACTCACTTATGAATTAAACAGGATCTTGTCCAGTGAATAATATTGCACACTATGCATCTACACATGGAATTCCTGAGATATCCCAAAGCCTACAGTTGCACACGTTGCTTTGTAAGTCAACCACGTACCCTTTTAATCCATTCCTGGCTTCAAAAATAGATGGTCCACTTGGATTCACATTCTAATTCCTACAATGACATTACTAAATGAAATTAGAACAATGAAATTATAATAATGATGATAAGGAATAATAAAAATGCTAAGATAAACCTCAAATCCTCTCCAAACTTGTTCATTTTCTTGATAGCAGTTGGACAAACCATTGATTCCCACTTTTCTGCCATATGTAACATCTGGTAGAGCCTATACATCATGTACAACCTAATTTCTTCAAACATTGCTAGAAGGGGTTTCTTTCTAGCATCCAATATAATGGCATTGATGCACTCTGCAATGTCATTTTCAACTATCTCACATTCTACATCAGTCCTAAAAAATGCCCTGCACCATGTGTGAGGATGTCTTGCAAGAAAATGTTCATAAGCATTGGGATTAACCTCTTTTATATCATCCATTTTCCTCATAAATTCACTCTCTACAGTTGAAAAGGAAGCTGCCTAGAACATATTCTTGAACTCCACTCTAGAATAGGTCTTCTTAAAGTTAGCATATATGTGTCTTGCACACTATCTATGCTCCACATTTGGTAGTACTTCCTTGGTTGCTTCAAGCAATCCTTACAATGTAATGAATACATAAACATATAAGATGATGGTAAGGAAAATTCATAAATATGCTAAGAAATTACAAACCTTATGTTGACCAGAAATTACAATAAACCCTCCTCCATCTAGAAGATTAAGATCCTCTGTGAGCAGTTCCAGAAACCATTTCCAATTTGCTTTGTTTTCAATGTCAACAACTACCCAAGTAATTGGATAAACTTGGTTGTTTGCATCCCTCCCTATTGTTGTGAGTAATTCTCTTTTACATGTCTGTTTCAAGAAAGATCCATCTAGACCAATTACCCTACGACACCTTATTTTCAAACCTTCCTTGATTGCTTTAAAACACAAATACATCCTGTGAAAGTAGGTTGTTTGATCTGGATTTACAGTGACACCCACTTGGACAGTGCTACCATGATTTGACCTTAGTAACTCATGACAATAGTCCCACGCCCTAGCATAATGTTCTGTGAGTTTACCATCTATAATGGTCGTTTCTCTACACCTTGTTTTGTAAGCCTTAGACCAATACACACCACAATGAAATTTGATCCTAGTCATTGATTGCATCTCCTTACACTTCAAGTTAGGTTTCCTTATCAACCCCTTCAAAAAGTGTCTTGATAGCTAGCTGGGACTCAGTAAATTTGAAATGTTGAAATTTCTAACACATTTGTGCTCATCAACTAAGGTTTTAATCTGAAAAGACCTTTCTTGAGTCTTCCAGGAAGCATGAACTCTGAATGAACAGGGTTGATACTTCATCTTAGAACATCATTTGGCAGTTAATCTCATAGTGTCACACTTCACAAATTTAATGTTATACCCTGACTTAATAGCATAATTAGTGAGATATTGTTGCAACTGATGTGGTGATTCATACCTTTCACTAAGAAGGGGCTTCATCTTATTCCACTTAACTGATGGGTCATGAATGGGAATGCCTGCACTAACCGCATCTCCCAAATCAAGATCATTAGCCCCTGTTGTGTCATCGATTTCCTCTTCTGAACCAAACCCTTTTTCATCAACTAAGTCATTGTATTCGTCGGCTTCATTATCTTTATAATCAGAATTGAAGTTAAGGAAAGCATCCTTGCATCTCTCTTTACCCCTATGTCTTGAAATCATCTTCTTCAATTTCCACATCTATGTGCTTAGTATCGAGCACCTCCTCATTATCTTCGTATTCTTCAGAGTCGTATTCTTCAAATGACTCATGGTAAACTTCCTCTGATTTGACAGCTATTGGGTTTTACTTTCGTTTCTCTCAGTAAAACCCTACTTCCTTCATGTTTCACTCTATAAAAACCCTAACTTTTTCTCTCAATTGACTTACCAGACGTCGAATGCAATGGAAATGGAAGGGTAAAACTCTCTTGTACACGTAAGGTGCCACATACGCATAGTACTGGTGGAATATCGGCTAACCCATTAAATATACCGTTTTGATTACGTTTACCGATATTTAAGACTAAATTGCAAAAAAAAAACAAAAACAAAAAAAAAAAAAAAATTATAGGGGCTAAATCGATTATACGGATAATACATAGGAATTTTATTGCAGTTTTCCCTTTATTTTATTATTTATTAATTTTCTCTTTTTTGTAGAGACATAGATAATGCAAAGTTAGGACATCCACAATGTATTAAACTTTATAGAATATAATGGATTGTCACATTATCTTTCTACAATCCATCTACAATACAAAAAAATGTCAATTAGTAACGAAAACAAAATGGTCAGTAACAATAGCAGGGTTTGTAACTAAGTGATTTAGTGACTAAACTTTGGGTCGTCACCTTTCGTCACTATAGGTCCGTCACAAAAATTGATTAGTGAGGAAATTATAAAATGGTCACTAAATAGTGACTAAAATATAGTGGTCACTAATTCTATGATAATCCATTTTGTTACTAAATTTTGTCACTAATCAATGAAAGTCGTCACTGTTTTACACAATTAGTGACAATAAAAAGTCGTCGCAGTCTTATCCAATTAGTGACTGTAAAAAATCGTTACTGTCTTATCCAATTAGTGACCATAAAATTTATCATTGATTTTTCAAACTAGTGACCATAAAAAATCATCATTGATTTTTGTTGTTATTTTTGTATTTAACCCCGTTTAAATAACTATATGGAACTAGTCAATAGTAAACATAAACTATTCTTAAATATAAACGAACCCACACTACATAAATTATTCTCAAATAACACACATTTCCAGCAAATTACACCAAAAGAAAAAAAAAAGATTCAACTTTTTTCGTTTCTTTCTACAATAATTGTGTTTGCATTCTCATGATCCATTGAACAATATGGATCAAATAGTATTGCAAAACATTAAATAACTTCAATTAACAAAATTCACTTTTTTTTATTGACAAATCCATCAGTCAAAGAAACATACAACAGTCAAAGCCGACATGTAATTACAAATCAAAACATGTAATTTAGAGGGTGGCATCACCACTTACCTATAAAATCACAAAGAAAAACATGTAATTTAAGCTTCATTGTGATGGTTATCATGTAAGACATTGCATAACACATCTTCTATACATAAGATTGCATTTTATTTGCCTGACTTTTCAACAACTAAACCAATCTTAAAACAACAAGGAATCCAAACCACCTAATAATGTTAGTTAAAAATTCCAGGAGCATAAAAAGGGTAACCCAATGACATTAAGGAGATTAATTTAGCCTTGTGATGATTTCATTAAACATTGGATCAACAAAATTACCTCAAAATGTAAAATAAATAAGAGGTAGTAAGAACAAGATTAAAATTATAAAAAAAAAAATGGAAATTAAACCGCCTAGAATATTCTTCCAATTCTGCACAACAAGATTGATTTTTGTTGTATCTAAAATACAAAAGATTCCAAAACTATCAATTTTTCTTTATACGAGAAGGACAAATATAAATGAGAACATGTTGATATTTCTTGCCATGCATAAAGTACTAAAAGATTGTTTATGAAAAAAATTAGTATAGATGCATTGCCAAGATATAAAAGAGTCATTGTCGTCAACAAAAAGACATTCAACTCATTTCTTGTTTCTTCTTTGTGCTTCCACCTACCATTTTTAAGCAGGACAATCACGTATTCCTAAAAATAAAAAATAAAATAAAATCATATATATATATATATATATATATATATATATATATATATATATATATATATATATATATATATATATATATATATATATATATATATACTTATGAAATTTACAGAAATCAAATCGTATTAAGTAGAAGCATAAACTAAACAAATTTGTTTATCAAGTTTATAATTAAGAATGACCCTTATTAAATCAAAAAAAAAAAAAAAAAAAACCCGCACATGCTAGATGACAGTTATGGATATAACAGACTTGTAATTATTAGTGCTGAGTAATACTTTATATTCAGAACACTTTAAGCAAAATAAGGTAAATTAAATACAATATGTGAACATATTATCATCATAATCAAAGCAATATTAAAACACCTTGAGCAACCATTATTCCCGATGAACATCAAGCTTATGGATTCAGTTGTCAAAATTGTGAAAACAACAAGAACAGAATAAATAAAATTAGGTAAATTGAAACGAATCATTAGATTTCTGCTCTTAAGAACATAGATTTAATGGTCAATTTTACCTTCTTTCAAAATCACATCCAGTTGACGAAATCACGCGACGGAGATCGATATATATATATATATATATATATATATATATATATATATATATATATATATATATATATATATATATATATATATATATATATATAGAGAGAGAGAGAGAGAGTGGAGGATGTGGGGAAGGAGGAGGTGACGCCGGTATGTGGGAGACGGCAACACGGGAGGCCGAACCTTACCACAGGTGGCTCTGTTGCCCTTTTCGTTCTCGCGCTGCAAGTAAGAGGTAGCGACGACGTAGAGGAGAACGAAGGCAAATGACGACCAGGAGAACGAATGCCGACGAAGACGAGGAGAGCGAAGGTCGACAACAACGGCGGTGGTGGTAATGGTAAACCCAACTTCAAGAGTGCAAAACTAGGGTTCGTATGTATAGCGTTTTCATCTTCCTTTAGCCTTTGGACCTGTTTATTTGATGCGGGCCGGTTTAAAATCAATACATTTAAGGATTTCTTATTATTATTCCACTATCGTTTAAAAAAATCGCAAATATTACGATAATTGATTAATTATTTAAATACGAAATGGAGTAGAATATATTTTTATTCCTTTTTTCTTTAAAGGTTTTAGTATCTTAGATCTCATTCTTTTATAATGTTTCCGGTGTTGAGTATTATTTGATGTTCATTATAGGTCTTGTTTGTTTTTTTTAAATCAAAATGTTTGTAGTCTGCGGATCATATCTGCAAACATCTGCGGCAGAAGATGTGGACCAAATGTCTGTAGTCTGCAATAAGAAGACTGTTTGTTTTCAACGTCTACGGGCTGTTAAAATAAATTGAATTTTTAAACTTAATTTAATGTCATAAACATTCAAAATGCATTTTTTTTTTTTTTTTTTTTAAAAAAAAAAAAACTGCACGGTGGCCCATATATATATATATATATATATATATATATATATATATATATATATATATATATATATATATATATATATATATATATATATATACATATATATATATATATATATTTTGGTTTACGTTAAAATGAGGTCTAAAAGACCTTTGAAGACAGTGGCCCATGTCCGCGCCAGGAAGACCTCGCGCAGACGTTTTCTGATCTGTGCACTTCCAAAAAAACAAACAATCTGCGAGGGCATATGTCTGCACGGCGCAGACAAAAGTGGTTGCGTAGATCTTCACACAAAAAACAAACAGCCCCATAGTTTTTTACTATGTATTTTAATGATAGTTATTATGTCTTCGCGACATTTGTACGGGGTTCGAAAATTCATTGATAACTACGCCTTCAATGCAGTGACAACTATTTTTAGTCATTACACATCAAATACAGTTGCCACTATTTTTGGTCATTAAGTCTCAAATATGATGATCAACACATTTAGTTATCAGGCATTAGATACAATGACCATTATTATATGGTCATTAAAATTATTTTATTTTATAATTCAATGACTACTACTATGTCGTCATAATATTTCTACGTGAAGGTGAAGGTTAAGTGGGTTTGAAAATTCATTGATGAATATTTTTTGTCACTAAGTCTGAAATGCAGTGATCACTTAATATTTGGTCACTAAATTTTGTAGCACTACCAAAACACGACAACTTAATATATGGTGACTAAAGGATGTTGTTAGTGACCTGATTTTCGATCGTCACTAAAAAGGACTTTTCTTTTAGTGATCATTCTATCATTTTTTTCCCACAATGTATTCATCTCTCTACAAAGTTCACTACAATGTTATAAAACATATTTTATAACAAATATTTATGAATTAAAAACTTTCCTTTTCCTATTAAATAGTTCAATGATCATTGAACTCCAAATCTATTGAATGTCAATGTAACATCTCACAATGGTAGAGTTTCGTCTATTGAATGACAAATAGATTTGTCACCTCATTCAATTCTCTCATTAACCTCACCATTGTAGATGCTCTTATGGGGTAGAGTAACATCACATCAATCATTTTATGCATTCTCTTCATCATCGTGTCAATTCCAATTTTCTCCTTTTATTTCCCTAGGTCAATTCTCTTTTTTATCCTCTCATTTTTCATCGCACATAGGATGGTCACCTACTAGCTTTAATTTTTTTATGATAGAGACTACTTTAGTATACAAGTGAAAAAAACAAATGAATATAGGGAAAAAAGTAACGTAGTGGTGTTCACTACACATCACCTTCCATCCACATCAGCCCATAACCTATCCATACCTTTTATCCTTGTTGTTTACATCATTGGATTACATATATTAACATTGTTTGAGTTGATTATCTATCGAATAATATGCTATTTTCTAAGTATATATCAGCTTTAGTTTAGATCTCAGGTGTAAATGTGGCTCCTTTATTTGCAATGTAAGTCTCCAAAATTGCTTGTGTATCAATCAGATCCAATTGATGGTATGGAATCCCAATCAATTGGATGATGTCAGATCAAAATAGAAGAGAATGAGAAGAAGAAGAAGATGAA